GCCATTACTTATACTCTGCATTAATTATGCTCTTTGGAATCCCAACACAATCAATTATGCTTAGGAAGATAAAAGGACAGCCGCATGATTGCATTTGCAAATTACCCATGCGCAGCAAATCTTGTCCGTAGATATATCAAGAGCTTCCAATCAATGGCTTGGAATAAATTACCCTATATTTTTTCCCTTTTTTTTGAAAAGTGAATTCTTTTGCTTTTGTATATAGTATAGATTCTATAGTTTCTAATTTCATCTGTTTTTTGATTTTCTAGTTTCTAATTTTCAATTTCAAATTTTCTAATTATTAATTTCAATTTTCTAATTCTTTTTTCCGCTCAAATTTCAATTTTTAGATAAGAAATCATCTAAAGTATGAGTAAAATATAGGGAAGGTATCAAATATGATTTCAATGTATTTATTATCAAAATAAGGACATTGTTTCATAGTATTTGATATTTTCTTTATGTTTTACTTTTAATTTGGATTTTATATCTTTTCTGATTTCATTTTCAATTTTTAAATACTCAATCCTTTTAAGAGTAATATCCAAAAAAATAATAATCAACGAATTGACACACCACCTTTAGACGATAGGAATCTTGAAATTAGGGGTGTAAACAGATCAAAAATTTTAAATTCTATTTGTGATTTGTGTTTGAATATAATGATTTGAATTTGCATAATTCAAATACAAATACTAGTTTTGATTAAAATATTAAACAGAGATTAATACAAATAAAGACATATTCGATTCGAATAATATTCAATCATTTGATAGCATATATATATATATATAGACACACACGCACACACACATATAGACCATGTTTTCAGAGTTAATTGTCAAGCAAACTCATGTAGTGTAAAGTGCATTAAGTTACTAAGATTTTATTTAATTAAAGTAACACAAGAATATAAAGCATATGGTTTTGATAGTTATATTTTATAAGATATAATTTGTGTAAAATGCAGATGGATTAATATTTTCATATATAGTATAAGAAATAGTGCAAGTTAAATTATTCAAAATCAATATTTTTTATTATATATATTATGGAGGATGGCTATTCAAGTACTACGTATTTGTTTAGGATTTGTTAACTATTCAAATATTAATCAAATACAAATACAAATCTTATTTTTAGTTTGTATTCGTGAATTTTGAAAATTGCCACAATTATCATTGAATATTTTAAAACATTGCCCTAATGGTCTCCTACACCCTAATTTAGGAGTGTATTAACCAGAGACATGTCTAATAAGATCATATCCAATCAAATCATATTAGATCCTATTAAAGTTTTAGAAAATCAAATGAAATCCAATTAGATCAGACAAATGGAGTAGAGCCTGGACCCAATTTTATTTTAGAAAATTACTTCGTCGTTCCTTTGGTTTTCTAGTAATAACTCACAAGTCCCGCATTATCTGAAATATATTTAGGGATATCTTCGATTTTCTGGTAAAAGTTTCAAGTCTCACATTATACAAAATATATTCTAGGGTCGGTAAATTTGTGATGTTATACTCCGATGGTACATTGCGTCTTTTTAGGCATTAGAATTGAAAATTTCTTTACTTTCACAATTTGAAGAATTTTATTTAAAATTAAAAATAATTTTTAAGGTAAAATTTTAAATTTTTCAAAGTATCAAAAATTTTAATCAAAATGACCAAATAGGCGAAATGTCTGGGATAGTTGTGGGTTTGAGCGGGAGGGACTGCTTGACGTGGTCCTGGGGATGACTGTTTACAACCAGACACAACTAATTTCATTAAATATTTCGATTAAATTAGTAAAGTGTGGCATTATTGCTGAAACAAAATTCAACTATGATTTACTTGTTGATCTTATGAGGAATCTATGTTCTTGATTGGGCTGTGAAGGCTTGATGTTCTCGATGGATATAGACGAATGGATACATTTGAACATTTCTCCAGCAATGATTGTTGAGGTTATCTTATTAGATACGAAGTAATTTAGTTTTGGTTGGAGTGCTTTTCAAACCCTTCTGTGAAAGGGTGAGAATTTAGTCTAAATGTTTTAATCTATTAAACTCGGAACCCTTGTTCCGGTGTTCTGGACAATGAATCATGTGAAAATTTTGAGGATCTTCTTTTGAGGAGATGTTCTAGTACAGGGCCGTCTCCAAGGAATTAGAGGCCCTATCCGACACGAAGAAAATGCGTCATTGTGTGATAAAAAAAGTAAAATTTATCAATTAATTTTTTTAATAATATATAACATTGTACTAATAATAATATGTCAAACTCAGTCTTATAAGTTTGTAATTATATACTCCGAACTTTAGTACCTAACCGAAGACTCGTGAAATTATTCTATTATTCTTGAGAGAAAATAGGTTGATCACCTCTCCATAGTTTATTAGATTTACTGATTTAAGACTATATTTTTAAAAATAAATCAAAAATTTTTTATATAAATAAATATATACATGTATGTATACAAAAAATTGGGCCCCATTCAAATATGGGCTCTGGCCAAGTGACCACCTTGCCCCTCCTTTGAGCCGCCCCTGTTCTAGTATGACTAGTGGGCCATGGTGATCTTCTTTTCGGGCGTCAAGTCAACTAAATCTTGTAGTATGCAATTGACGGGGGGTGCGGGGTATGTTCGGGCCGGGCCGAGGGTAGGGGTTTTACCGGGGAGATCAGGAGGGGTAGGAATCATCAATTTTTTAAACAAAGTATCGTAAATGTCCTAATCAGGGCCCAGCACATATCATATGATGACATGGGGGTTCATGTCACCAAAACCGCCCCGTAACTACTAATAGAAGTTTTTTTTTTTGCATTTTCACTTGTGTACCAAGTGCCCTGTTCCGGGTTTGTCGCTGCCTCCAATTCCCCACCCCTTACATAGCTTATATTCGTAGACTGAGTGCAATAATAGTGGGTGTCAAAGTTTAATTATATTGACATTGCACTTTTTAACTTACACTGTGCATAATTTTATTTGTAAGCTCTTTTGCTCCGATGGATTTGGACAAGTTGAAGCAAAAGTGCCCTTATGTTCCCCAAGAGGAATTGGATCAAATTCGAGCAACTTCACTGTTGCTATACATGATATTGACCGAGCTGTTCGTATCAACCAACGTACGACGAACTACCACATTATTAATCTCTACCTTTATCACCAGCGCATCCTGATGGGGACTAAGCACTGGCAGAAAGTCTCCATTGGTGAAAAGTATCGGCTCCCTCTTCTTCCGTTATGGCAGCGGTGGCCTCTGTACCTCAATCAGATGTACCATGTTCCTCCCGTAGATAAAGTAACAAGTTAATATATTAGATATTTGATATAAAAACTATTATGAGTAATGAAAGAAAAATTAATATATAAATATATTTTGTTTGATATTGCTAGCTATTATGTATGGAGTACAAAATATTATCTATTGGAATGTGATAATCAATGTGTGATACGTTGCAAACAATACGGAGTAGTAAAGATGTATTCATTTTAGTATATAAACTTATAGTTAATTTTTTCTCTCCATAGAACTATAGAAGTATGTATGTGTGTTTATAATAATTTTAAATAGGTTTGTTCTTTATTATTATTATTATTATTATTATTATTGTTATTGTTATTTTATTATAATTATATTAATAATAAATATTTTAATTTATTCGGGCCGAGCCGGCCCGTGAGCTTGAACATAAACCCGAGCCCGGACCTAAAATATTTGGGCCGCCTTTTATAAGGCCCAAGCCCGGCCCGTACCCTAAAATGTCAAGCCCAAGCCTGTTACTTTACAGGCGGGCTTTTGCGGGTGGGCCGGATACCCGAGCCCGTGATCGGGTATACTCCTGAGTGAATTTCTCGAGCTCTTAACGAGAGCACCGATTTGATGGACAATAATTCTACCAAAATAATCCGACTCAAAAAGCGGATCGTAAGAATAATTAAGAAATGAGAACTCGAGAGTTATGAAATTTAGTACTTGGTTTTTCTTGAGGTTTCCCCTTCGGGATCTCCTTATTTGTACATGTCATTCATGTAATTAAGGTAGTTTACAGTTTATGGAATTTAATCCCTAGATTTGCGCGATCCTCTTCCTTCGGCTCCTTTTCCGCAACCTAGCCGCGTATTTCTTCTGGAAGGTGGACTCCCCACGGTGTTCTGATCCGGGTCAGCCCAGGCACAAGACCAATTTCAACCTCATGTGGACACCCGAATGCATTTGGGTACAAGGCTTGGGCGTATCGGTCCATCAATCAGTAATTCATTTCATTAAAAAATATTAGTATTACATTGCAGGCGCACACTATCTTCAATGCAAAATGAATATTTAACCCCCTAGCATTCATACTTTTTGACTCTAACTGCAAAAGGATCGTTGGATAGTTTGTTTAACCAAAGACGGTTAATCTCTCGAAGATAGAACGAGTTTGATGACATCAACAATTCAAGAATAAGTATCTGTGGGGATAACGAAGTAATCGTGATTTAACTAAATACACATGACACGGTCATGTAACGTGAATATAAACAAGATGTTGATTGCTAAACCTTAGAAGAATTTCAAGGATAAAATGAATGTAAAAAAGCTAGGGGTACACCATTTGGGGACAATTTCAATGTAAACATTTGGGACTTTTTGGAAATGAATGTTAAAAAAAAGAAAAAAGCTAAGGGTTCACCATTTGGGGTACCCCATTTGTACCCCCTCCATCTCCACCATACAAAAACAAGAGAGGAAAAAGAATTTAAAAATGAAAAAAGAAATGGAGGGTTAGATTGGTGGTGTACAAATGAGGTACTCCAAATGGTGTATCCCTAGCTTTTCTCTAAAAAACAAACTTGCTAAGTACTTTCTCTATCCTTGATAACATTTCTCCTTTCTTTTTTAATCTGTCCCAAAAAATACTTCTCATTTTTATTAAAAAGTCACTTTTACCTATTGTTTTTTCAAACCTTACCTATCACATCATACCTATTTACTAATAATATATCCATCAAACCATACTTTAAAGACATTTTTGAAAATTAAATACCAAAATACACTATACTTAAATCCCTTTTCAAAATTTACAGAGTAATTTTTAAGAAAAGAAATTGGGGTTAGGACGGGAGGCCGGGAGGGGGTTTGTTTGACAATTGACACTTCACAATCTCTCGGACTGCCGCCAGTGGCTAGGGCTTGGGTTGACGACGGAGGACGCAGACTTGGAGGCCAGGGCTGCTACTTTATTCCGGCGTTCGGACCCCAACAACGGCCGACCTTGTTCTTTGAAAGGTGAGTGATTCTAGCCAATTTCATCTCAAATCTTTCTCTCTTTTCCCCCCCAAGTTTTGTGGGCTGCCGCTGAATCGTCGCCGCCAAGGGGGTTGGACAGGCGAGGGTCTGGGTCGTGGGGGGGGGGGGGGGTATTCCACCAAGTCTGGGCAGCGGGTTGGGCCGTACGGCTTGTCCGCCGCATTTTCGTTCTGCCTGGTCGGAGAGGCTGCCCGGTTTGAGATTTGGGGCGGTCTGCTGGGTTGGCCGGGATAGTTGTGGGCGTCTTGGGGTTTGACTGACTACAACAAGACACAACTAATTTCATTAAGGCCCCGTTTGGTACATGGAATTCAAACTGTGGAATTGGAATTGAGGACTTCAATTTCAATTCTGGTGTTTGGTAGCACAAAAATTGTGTGGATTTAGAATTGACAAACGTTTTTTACTTAACCTTAACCGTCTTAAGTTAAGATACCTTAACTTAGGGTACCTTAAATTTAAGGTTAAGATAAGGTTAAGGCAGTTAAGGCATATGGTTTGTCTGGGAGTTACTTTAAGATCAAATGGGAAGAGTATACTTTACGATGAAATTGGGATATTTACTGTGGTTTTTACTGTGATAGTATCTGTTAGTCACCCAAATAGTCATTTGTAAAACACTCATTGTTTATGAGATGCTAGCAGTGCCAAAAATATGTGGATTTGGAATTTGTAGTGCCAAAAATAAATTGGAATTGGAGAATTTAATTCCATCCAAAACAATTTTCTAGAATTTCAACTCTCAATTCAATATTTCAATTCCAATTCCATCATTTCCGTATCCCAAACGGACCCTAAGTATTTTGATTAAATTAGTTAATTGTGTCATTATTGCTAAAACAAAATTCAACTATGATTTACCCGATGGTTTTATGAGGAATCTATATTCTTGATTGCGCTGTGAAGGCTTGATGTTCTTGATGGATGTAAAGAATGGATACATTTGAACATTTCCCCAGCAATGATTGTTGAAGTTATCTTATTGGATGCAGAGTAATTTAGTTTTGGTTGGAGTGCTTTTCAACCCCTTTTATAAAAGGGTGAGAATTCGCTCTAAATGTTTTAATGTATTAAACGCAGAACCCTTGTTCCGGTGTTATGGACAATGAATCATGTGAAAATTTTGAGGATTTTCTTTTGAAGAGATGTTCTAGTATGACTAGTGGGCAATTGGTGATCTTCCTTTCGGGCGTGAAGTTTTTACTTCAATGTAGGAAAATTTATCCAAAATTATCTCAACTTTGCTTGTTCTCTAAAAAATAATTCTACCTTTTATTGTGATGCATAATAATCCCAAATTTACTGAAATTTACGAGTTTTGGATTGTTGTTAAGTTGCTAACGACGAGTTAGAAGAAATGCATGTTTAGCGCAACAAAATGAAAATTGAGATTATTTTTTTGATGAATGTTTGTTTTTTGATTTTTTTTTGAAATTTTTAAATTGTCTTTCTACCTCCATTTCTATTTCTTTTTTACATATTAGCCTTACCTTAGTGAAAAAATTAAAAAAGAGATATAAAAAATAACAAAAATGAGAAAAATAACTAAAACATTACAAATTAATAATAAGAATAAATTCCCAAAATGGTCCTTACTAAAGAGGTATTTTCCAAATTCCATCCTCAATAAGTTATAATTATTCAGGTAGTCCTTTGCAAATGATTTTACTCAAATGATGATTAATTAGAGAGTATTTTGGTATTTCTATCATCTAAATTTAAAATATATTCTCAAAATGGTCATTTCTTTATAATTAAATGTAAAATTAAAAAAATACATTGACTCTACATAATCAATGAATTATTAAAAATCTATAAAAATCTTTTAAAATTCGATTCAAACACACATCTTTAATTAGAAAAAAAACCATTTTGGGGAAGTACTTCATTAGAAATGATCATAATAAAAAATTTTCTAAATTTAGCTGATAAAAATACCACAATACCCTCTAATTAATCATCATTTGAGTAATATTATTTACGAAAGGCTATCTAGAAAATAAATCTCAATTATAGAGGACCATGTATGTAATTAAAACTTATTAAAGAGTGATTTGGGAAAACGCCTTATTAGAGAGGACTATTTTGGGAATTTATTCTTATAATAATAATAATATTAATAATAATAATTATAATACTATTACTACTACTCTACTAGTAGTAGTAGTAGACTAGTAGTAATGATAATTATAGTATGTACACCCTTTGTCGCACTATTTTTGTCTTATTTTTCATTTTCTATGATTCCCACAATTTGTCTCATTTCATATTTAGTCATATTTGTGTGATTCACAATCATTCTTACTTTATCACATCTGAATGAATCAGAGAAAAATGTAGATGAACAGAACGCAACTTAAGAAAGGTGAAATTGTGTAATTAAAAGTTTTGCAAATGAGACAAAATAGATGTGAACCAAGCAACATTTTCTTTAAAAGGAAATGAGAAGGTTATTAGGGGACAACCTAAAATAAAAAGTGGGAAGAATAGAAAAGGGAGAGTGGGAGTATGTTGCAAGGCCTTCGGTGATTTTTTTTGCACAAAACACACAACTTCATTAACACCATTAAAACCAAATACAAGAAGTTATCCAAACCCCATAACATCATCTTCCTATTACAAATATAGCTATGAATATAGAAATAAGCAAATTCCGTAGCCTCATCTAGTATACACACCCAGCCCATATGGCTACAATCTGCATCCGTGTTTTCTTCCTTTTAGTCTGCTACACCATGGCCACCGGGTCCTCAAACTTGGCCTAGTGAACACCAAACTTGAATCTATTGAAGCAAGCAGTGATGATACTTTGCGCAAAAGAACATTCCCAAACTAGATGTTTATCAGTTTCTTCCTCTTGACCACATAAACCACAATTTGTATTAATGTTAAGATATTTGTGCAACCTTACTTTTGTTTGGATCCTCCCTCTTAACAGCAGCCAAGCCACAAATTGAAATTTAGGTGGTGTAAGTTTATTCGAAACATAATTTTTCCACCTAGGGATTCTCCCTTCTCCTTGTAGCCATTCATATCCATCCTTAACTCTGTAAGGCTTCTGTCTTGGCATGTCTCTAAAGGCTTCCCTCACTTTGATCATTTCTTTCCGATAATGGCAAGAATCCAGCCTTGGAGTAAAGTCTCAAAAGTCTACTCCTTTTAGATATCTACTATGGATCCATCTTACCCATAAGATATCCTTCTTGTCAGCTATATCCCAATTTAGCTTCATTATGGAGGCTTCATTCCAGTTGGTCACATTCTTGATACCCAAACCACCATACTTCCTCTTCTGGCAAACTTCTTCTTCTGGCAAACTTCTTCTCAATTGACCAAAGAAACTTTCATATATTCATGTGAGCAAGTTTCTACAAACAGCCATGATCCTCTTCATAACTTGCTTAGGCAGTAGGAAGATCCTTGCCCAAAATGTTATGACCCTCATCAGCACAGAGTTGATTATTCTCACCCTAGTAGTGTATGAGAAATGTTTAGATCCCTAGGCTGGGATCTTGCTGGTCAGTTTACTGATAAGAGCTTCGTAATCACTGGACTTCAGCTTTGCTGATGTGATAGGGCAGCCTAGATATGTAAAGGGTAATTTACCTAGTCTCATTCCAGTCAATTCAAGCAGATCTTTTTGGTTCTGTTGGTTCACTCCCCCAAAGACTATTTGAGGTTTACTTTTATAAATCCTCAGACCAGTAGCTTGTTTGAATTCCTCTAACACTTTCATAAGACAAGCAATAGACTTCTGATCAGCTATACTCACCACAATAAGATCATCAGCAAGACAAATATTCACAATTTTTAAGTCACCACACATGGGATGAAACCTAAAATTCTCTTTTTGGGCAGCAGCTTTAAAACATATGGTCAGATACTCCATTACTAAAACAAAGAGAAGGGGGGAAATAGGGTCCCCTTGTCTTAGCCCTTTAACTCCTTTAAAGTAACCATATTGACCCCCATTTATATTTATAGTATAAGTAGGAGTGGTGATGCAAAACATAATCCATTTTATGAAAAGATCAGGGAATTTAAGGCTGTGTAGTATACCTCTAATTGCCTTCCAACTTACAGAGTCATATGCTTTTTGTATATCCAGTTTCGTCATACATCTTGGGGAGCAAGAGCAGGACTTTCTAGTATATCCTTTAGCTATCTCCTGACACATGAGTACCTTATGGATCAGTTCCCTGGCCTGCACAAAAGCCCCTTGATTAAGGTCAACAATCTGTGGCAGTTTCTCCTTCAATCTCAAGCAGATTAGCTTCGAAATAATTTTGCAGATGGTGTTACCACAAGCTATAGGTCTATACTCAGTAGGACTTGTAGGATTAACACCAATGTGTAAAGCTAGTAGCATTAACGACAATGGCCTTCAGTGATTTTTTGGAGTGACAAAAAACAAGTTTCATGTGTAAATTGGATTGAGACCTGCACACTTCAAATTTGTAGCTGTTATATGTAGAAGTTAGGGTTCATTGATAATGGGCTAATTGGGTTATTTATTATTGTGCTGGTTGATTTAGAGACAAATTAAATGATTATTTGGACAGATTGGTTGATTTGTTGCTAAATTTTAAGATATTCTTTATTGATTGTTAATTATGCCTTCCTAGTCGGTTCATGTTTTTTCTCGCTAAAATTTTTTGAGTTACTCTTCCCCTGGAAAATTTTCATCCATGATCCAAACAAGCTCTCATGGTCCAACATAATTTTTTTTTTTTGCAATTTTTAATGATTTATCTAAATAATATCATAACTTTCAAATATACGTGGTAAAAAATCAGGGTGAACCGCCAGGTTTGTCCAAACCTAGCGACCTGTTCAACCTGGACTTTTCAACCCGTTTAACACATCCACACACAACTCTCCTCCTTCATCCGGGTTTGGGACCAGCAGTAAATAATCAATGGCGGTGTTGGTTTCAGGTGTTTATTATTTGTGATTTTATTGAGGCTTTTATTCTTGTCTTAAATCATGTATGGTGTAAATTTTATGCTTCTTTCTAAATCAAGCTGTATGTTTCTCTTGATCTAATAATGTGTAACTATAGCCGTTGCTTTAAGGTGGACGATAGTGTTGATTGCTTTCTTCTCTGTTTTGCTCGTGTGTTAATCATAGTTTACTGCTTTGGCAGGTGTTTGCTTCTTCTCAAACCCTCCCATCTTGGTCCTGCTGTCCGTCTTCTGTGTATGCTAGTGCTGCTCTCTTCCCTCGAGCCTCATCGAAGATAGCATTTTGTTAACTTCTTCTCTCTTCGCTCTTCCTTTATCGACTGCTGCTTCTATTGCTTGTTGAGATTGAAAGGAATAACCATTTGGCTTGTGCCCTTCGACCGTGCAAAGCAAATGTACTTTTGCTAAATCCACAATTGCTTTAGATGTTAATGATTCATGTTGGTTTGGTATACGTGGGAAGAATAGAAAGGGAGGGAGGGGGTATGTTGCAAGGCCTTTGGTGATTTGTTGGAGTGACAGAAAACAAGTTTCGTGTAAAGGGATTGAGATTTACACCCACTTCAAATTTGTAGCTGTTTTATGTAGATGTTAGGCTTCATTGTTTAAGTGTTAATTGGGTTATTTATTATTTTACTATGATTTAGAGAAAAATAAAATGATTATGTGGACAGCTTGGTTGTGAATTATGTCTGCTTAGTCAGTTCATGATCCATCTTGTTAAAAAGTCTTTGCTTACTCTTCCCTGAAAACTTTTCATCCTTGATGCATACGAGTTTTCATGATCCAACACAATTTGGTTTGCACTTTTACTGATTTTTCTAAATAATATCTGAACTTTCAAATAAACGTGGTTAAAAAGATCGGGTTGAACCGTCGGGTTTGTCCCAACCTAGTGACCTGTTCCGCCTGGACTTTTCAACCCGTTTAAAACATCCACACACAACTCTCCTCCTTCATCCCGGTTCAGCAGTATATACTCATGGCGAAATATAAACACTAAGGTAACTCCGAAAATTAGAACAGAATTTAGTTGTTACCAAACTTAAAGATGCTTCTTTGTAGATTTAGATTGTTATTGTTTTCAATTTGGAATTTAATCTTCTAAATTGAGCTGTTTATGTTTCTCAAGATCTAATATTCAGGAACTAAAACTGTTTTAAGCTGGAAGACAATGTTGCTTGCCTATGTTCTCTGTTTTGCTCCGTGTGTTAATTAAAGTTTACTGCTTTGGCAGGCAATTGCTTCTTTCTCTCAGCTTCCAATCTTGGTCCTGCTGTCCGTCTTATGTGTATGCTATTGCTGCTCTCTTCCCTCGTAAAAGATAGCGCTTTGTTGACTGCTTCTCTAATTGCTCTTGCTTTAACAACTGCTCCTTCTATTGCTTGTTGAGGTTGGAAGTAATCAGGTAACTGTTTAAGGTAATGTACTTTTTTTAACCATTTGGCTTGTGACCTTTGACCCTGCAAAGCAAATGTAGTTTTGTTATATCCACAAACTCTTAGGATATTTATGATTTGAGTTGGTTTGGCATACTATAATAATTTGAATCGGTTTGTTGTTGGTATCATACTAATCGAGAAAAAAATGTTTGATTTGGTTTAGTTAAGGGTGTTTTTGTCATGTTCATTTTAATTACCAAACACACTTTTGGGCTGTCAATTGCAAGTTAAACTGTGTTTATTTTACTGATCACAACTATTTTTATTGTTCCCATGAATTTCCCGGGGATTGACATAGGGATTTGCACTACGAAGTGTTTTGGAAAATTTCCTTCCCTATTCGCTTTCTCCTATTTAACCATTTTGGTGTAGCATTAACATGTCAAACGGGTTGACTTCGGGTTCGGTTCCAACGGGTCACATGTCGTAGATGGGTGACAGTGCAAAATTTGTAGGTTGAACGAGTCAAAACTTTGGGCAGGTTTGGTTGGGTCAGTGTTTGACAGTCTAGTAGTATACAATGTCCATTTGCTTTTTGTTTGGTTACTAAGCGGCAAGTGAAATGTTCTATAGCATTACAAAGGCGCCAAACTAATTGTATATGCGGAGTATTAATTTTGGTCATTTTTGTTACTTCCATGATCTTGCATTTTGATTCTCTGCCATTTTGATGCACTGTGATATGTTGCAAGGCCATTGTTAATTTGTTGGAGCGACTGAACAAGTTTATGTGTAAAGGGAATCACTCTGACCCTATTTGTTCTTCCCGTTTGCTTTAAAGAAAGGTGAAATTGTGTCATTGAAGTTTGTGCAAAGGAGAGAGAATTGATTGATGTGAGACAAGTAATTTTTCTTTGAAAGGAATTGAGAAGATAGTAAAGGGACAACCCAAAATTGAAAGAGAGAAGAATAAATAGTGAGGGGGGAGTAATGGAGTATGTTGTTGCAAGGCCTTTGGTGATTTGTTGGAGTGACAGAAAACAAGTTTCATGTGTAAATTGGATTGAGACCTGGACACTTCAAATTTGTAGCTGTTATATGTAGATGTTAGGGTTCATTGATAAGGGCTAATTGGGTTTTTTATTATTGTGCTAGTTGATTTAGAGACAAATTCAATGATTATTTGGACAGATTGGTTGATTTGTTGCTAAATTTTAAGATATTCTTTATTGATTGTTAATTATGCCTTCCTAGTCGGTTCATGTTTTTTCTCGCTAAAAATTTTTGAGTTACTCTTCCCCTGGAAAATTTTCATCCATGATTCAACAGAATTTTTTTTTTGCAATTTTTAATGATTTATCTAAATAATATCATAACTTTCAAATATACGTGGTAAAAAAATCAGGGTGAACCGTCAGGTTTGTCCAAACCTAGCGACCTGTTCAACCTGGACTTTTCAACCCGTTTAATAATCCACACACAACTCTCCTCCTTCATCCGGGTTTGGGACCAGCAGTAAATAATCAATGGTGGTGTTGGTTTCAGGTGTTTATTATTTGTGATTTTATTGAGGCTTTTATTCTTGTCTTAAATCATGTATGGTGTAAATTTTATGCTTCTTTCTAAATCAAGCTGTATGTTTCTCTTGATCTAATAATGAGTAACTATAGCCGTTGCTTTAAGGTGGAAGATAGTGTTGCTTGCTTTCTTCTCTGTTTTGCTCGTGTGTTAATCATAGTTTACTGCTTTGGCAGGTGTTTGCTTCTTCTTAAAGCCTCCCATCTTGGTCCTGCTGTCCGTCTTCTGTGTATGCTAGTGCTGCTCTCTTCCCTTGACCCTCATCGAAGATAGCATTTTGTTAACTTCTTCTCTCTTTGCTCTTCCTTTATCGACTGCTGCTTCTATTGCTTGTTGAGATTGAAAGGAATAACCATTTGGCTTGTGCCCTTCGACCGTGCAAAGCAAATGTACTTTTGCTAAGTCCACAATTGCTTTAGATGTTAATGATTCATGTTGGTTTGGTATACGTGGGAAGAATAGAAAGGGAGGGAGGGGGTATGTTGCAAGGCCTTTGGTGATTTGTTGCAGTGATAGAAAACAAGTTTCGTGTAAAGGGATTGAGATTTACACCCACTTCAAATTTGTAGCTGTTTTATGTAGATGTTAGGCTTCATTGTTTAAGTGTTAATTGGGTTATTTATTATTTTACTATGATTTAGAGAAAAATAAAATGATTATGTGGACAGCTTGGTTGTGAATTATGTCTGCTTAGTCAGTTCATGTTCCATCTTGTTAAAAAGTCTTTTCTTACTCTTCCCTGAAAACTTTTCATCCTTGATGCATACGAGTTTTCATGAGCCAACACAATTTGGTTTTCACTTTTACTGATTTTTCTAAATAATATCTGAACTTTCAAATAAACGCGGTTAAAAAGATCGGGTTGAACCGTCGGGTTTGTCCCAACCTAGTGACCTGTTCCGCCTGGACTTTTCAACCCGTTTAAAACATCCACACACAACTCTCCTCCTTCATCCCGGTTCAGCAGTATATACTCATGGGCTTTATATTTGTGATTCCATTGAGGCTTTTAATCTTGTCTTAAATCAACAATGGTTTGAATTTCATGCTTCTTTGTAGATTTAGATTGTTATTGTTTTCAATTTGGAATTTAATCTTCTAAATTGAGCTGTTTATGTTTCTCAAGATCTAATATTCAGGAACTAAAACTGTTTTAAGCTGGAAGACAATGTTGCTTGCNGGTTAAAAAGATCGGGTTGAACCGTCGGGTTTGTCCCAACCTAGTGACCTGTTCCGCCTGGACTTTTCAACCCGTTTAAAACATCCACACACAACTCTCCTCCTTCATCCCGGTTCAGCAGTATATACTCATGGGCTTTATATTTGTGATTCCATTGAGGCTTTTAATCTTGTCTTAAATCAACAATGGTTTGAATTTCATGCTTCTTTGTAGATTTAGATTGTTATTGTTTTCAATTTGGAATTTAATCTTCTAAATTGAGCTGTTTATGTTTCTCAAGATCTAATATTCAGGAACTAAAACTGTTTTAAGCTGGAAGACAATGTTGCTTGCTTATGTTCTCTGTTTTGCTCCGTGTGTTAATTAAAGTTTACTGCTTTGGCAGGCGATTGCTTCTTTCCCTCAGCTTCCAATCTTGGTCCCGCTGTCCGTCTTATGTGTATGCTATTGCTGCTCTCTTCCCTCGTAAAAGATAGCGCCTTGTTGACTGCTTCTCTCATTGTTCTTGCTTTAACAACTGTTCCTTCTATTGCTTGTTGAGGTTGGAAGTAATCAGGTAACTGTTTAAGGTAATGTACTTTTTTTAACCATTTGGCTTGTGACCTTTGACCCTGAAAAGCAAATGTAGTTTTGTTATATCCACAAACTCTTAGGATATTTATGAGTTGAGTTGGTTTGGCAAACTATAATCATTTGAATTGGTTTGTTGTTGGTATCATACTAATCGAGAAAAAAATGTTTGATTTGGTTTAGGTAAGGGTGATTTTGTCATATTCATTTTAATTACCAAACACACTTTTGGGCTGTCAATTGCAAGTTAAACTGTGTTTATTTTACTGATCACAACTATTTTTATTGTTCCCAAGAATTTCCCGGGGAATGACATAGGGATTTGCACTACGAAGTGTTGTGGAAAATTTCCCTCCCTATTCGCTTCTTCTTATTTAACCATTTTGGTGTAGTATTAACATGTCAAACGGGTTGACTTCGGGTTCGGTTCCAACGGGTCACATGTCGTACATGGGTGACGGGGCAAAATTTGTAGGTTGAACGAGTCAAAACTTTGGGCAGGTTTGGTCGGGTCAGTGTTTGACAGTCTAGTAGTATACAATGTTCATTTGCTTTTTGTTTGGTTACTAAGCTGCAAGTGAAATGTTCTATAGCACTACAAATGCGCCAAACTAATTGTATATGAGGAGTATTAATTTTGCTTATTTTTGTTACTTCCATGATCTTGCATTTTGATTCTCTGCCATTTTGATGCACTGTGATATAATGCAAGGCCATTGTTAATTTGTTGGAGCGACTGAACAAGTTTATGTGTAAAGGGAATCACTCCGACCCTATTTGTTCATCCCGTTTGCTTTAAAGAAGGGTGAAATTGTGTCATTGAAGTTTGTGCAAAGGAGTGAGAATTGATTGATGTGAGCCAAGTAATTTTTTCTTTAAAAGGAATTGAGAAGATTGTAAAGGGACAACCCAAAATTGAAAGTGAGTAGAATAAATAGGGAGGGGGGGTATGTTGTTGCAAGGCCTTTGGTGATTTGTTGGAGTGACAGAAAACAAGTTTCATGTGTAAAGGGATTGAGATATGCACATTGTTGCTGTTTTATGTAGATGTTAGGCTTCTTCATGGTTAATGTGTTCTCTGGGTTATTTATTATTTTGTTGATTGATTTAGAGAAAAATAAAATGATTACTGGACAACTTTGTTGATTATTTGTTAAACTTTAGGATATGCTAGCTTGATTGTTAATTATGTGGCCTAGTCAGTTCTTGTTGCAGACAGGATCAGATCAAAGCAAAACAGAGTATTTTGTTGTTGTAAACTTGTAGAGGATTCTTTGTGTTCTTGAATATAAATAGAGAACAAACTGATACAACTTTTACTAACCAACACACCTATGATTGTTTGAAACTATCCTTGATTGCTTTTAGAATCTACCCAACCATTTTTTAAATTAATTAAATATGTAAAACACACTAAACGACACCATACTAAGTGACCCAAACATCGACTCTTTACCCATTTGGTTATATGAGAAACCCGATTAAATCTAACAATGACTCCCCTAATCGTTGTTTGTTCACACCAATGTTGGTTCATCATCATCTAAAATTAAATTTGCAATGTCTTCCTTTTGATCCCATTTTTTACATTTTTTCACAAAATGCCCAAGCCCATTGCACTTGAAACACATAATGTGACTCTTATCCCGCTGAAACCGACCACCATCCTTACCCTTCCCGGACCCCCAACCTCTACCTCGGCAACGTCCAAAGTCTTTTTGGTTTGAGCTCCAGGAACCTCAATGTTCACATATTGTCTCCTTAACCTTCTCTTTTCCATCACCTTTAGTGAATAGTAGTTTACCATGCGTATCTCCTTCCCCACTTGGCTTTATTATGCGTTCCTTAAATGCTTTCAATCTTCTAACCGCTTCTCGAAACAGCATTGTGTTAATGTCGGCAAACTGTTCAATCGCACCAACGATCTGTATGAAATTTTCAGGTACAGAACCCATAAGCTTTCGAACCAATCTTTTGTCTTCAAATGCAGACCCTAGGTTGCTTGCTCGTGTTGCAAGTTGACTCATTTTACCAGCAAAATCATTAAGTAACTCATTGTTCTTCATCTTTAGAGACTCAAAATCTGGAATTTAATCTTATAAATTGAGTTGTTTATGTTTCTCTTGATCTAATAATCCGTAAGTATAGCTGTTGTTTTACTCTGGAAGACAGTGTTGCTTGCCTATGTTCTCTGTTTTGCTCGTGTGTTAATTATAGTTTACTGCTTTGGCAGGTGATTCCTTCTTTCTCTCAGCCTCTAATGTTGGCCCTGCTGCCCATCATATGTGTATGCTAGTGCTGCTCTCTTCCCTCGTCGACGATAGCGCTTTGCTGATTGCTTCTCTATTTGCTCTTCCTTTACCGACTGTTGCTTCTATTGCTTGTTGAGATTAGAAAGTAATCAGGTAACTGTTTATGGTTATGTACTTTTTTAATCATTTGGCTTGTGCCCTTTGACCATGCAAAGAAAATGTACTTTTTCTATATCCACAATCGCTTTGGATGTTAATGATTTGAGTTGGTTTGGCATACTATAATCATTTGAATTGGTTTGTTGTTGGTAGAAGAATCGTCGTGAAAACAATATTTGATTTGGTTTAGGTATGGGTGTTTTTGTCTTGTCCGTTTTAATTACCAAACACACACTTATGGGCTGTCAATTGCAAGTTAAACTGTGTTTATTTTACAGATCATGACTATTGCTATTGTTATTGTTCCCACATATATTCTGTTGAATGACATAGGGTTTTACACAGTAAAGTGTGTTGGAAAATTTCCCTCCCTTTTAGCTTACACCTATCTAACTATTTTTGTGGTTAACCTGTCAAACGGGTTCCGGTCGCTTGGGCAGATCCTTCGTATTTGGGAGTCGAGACAGTTTATTAGGAGGTAGGCTTGTCAAAACAAAAGTGGAAAAAAACACCGGGATGGAGGGAGTATTTTGCATTTTTTTAAAGATTTTTCTTAATAATATCAGAACCTTCAAATAAATGTAATTTAAAAAATTGGGTTGAACCATCAGGTTTGTTCGAACCTAGCGACCTGTTTGACCTGTTCTTTTAACCCCAATTAACACATTCACACACAACTCTCCTCCTTCATCCGGGTTCGGGACCAGAAGTAAATACTCATTGGTGGTGTTGGTTTCATGGGTTTTATATTTGTGATTCTATTGAGGCTTTTATTCTTGTGTCCAATCATGTATGATGTAAATTTAATGCTTCTTTGTAGACTTAGAGTGTTATTGTTTTCAATTTTGGAATTTAATTTTCTAAATCGAGCTTTTATGTTTCTCTTGATCTAATAATGGTTAGCAGTAGCTGTTGTTTTAAGCTGGAAGATAGTGTTCCTGCCCTATGTTCTCTGTTTTGCTCAGGCGATTGCTTCTTTCTCTCGGCTTCCAATCTTGGTCCCGCTGTCCGTCTTATGTGTATGCTATTGCTGCTCTCTTCCCTCGTAAAAGATAGCGCTTTGTTGGCTGCTTCTCTCATTGCTCTTGCTTTAACAACTGCTCCTTCTATTGCTTGTTGAGGTTGGAAGTAATCAGGTAACTGTTTAAGGTAATGTACTTTTTTTAACCATTTGGCTTGTGACCTTTGACCCTGCAAAGCAAATGTAGTTTTGTTATATCCACAAACTCTTAGGATATTTATGATTTGAGTTGGTTTGGCATACTAATCGATAAAAAATGTTTGATTTGGTTTAGGTAAGGGTGTTTTTGTCATGTTCATTTTAATTACCAAACACACTTTTGGGCTGTCAATTGCAAGTTAAACTGTGTTTATTTTACTGATCACAACTATTGTTATTGTTCCCAAGAATTTCCCGGGGAATGACATAGGGATTTGCACTACAAAGTGTTTTGGAAAATTTCCCTCCCTATTCGCTTTCTCCTATTTAACCATTTTCGTGTAGTATTAACATGTCAAACGGGTTGATTTCGGGTTCGGTTCCAACTGGGCACTTGTCGTAGATGGGTGACAGCCTGACAGGGCAGAATTAGTAGGTTGAACGTGTCAAAACTTTGGGCTGGTTTGGTCGGGGCAAGTTAGACTGTGTTTTTGTACTAATATCAACTATTGTTATTGTTCCCGTGAATTTCCCGGGGATTGAGATAGGGATTTACACAACAAAGTGTGTTGGAAAATTTTCCTTCTCTTTTAGCCTATGTCTATTTAACCATTTTAGTGTGGTATTAACCTGTCAAACAGATTCTGGTTCAATGGAGGGAGTCTGTTGCAAGGTCATTGGTCATTGGTGATTTGTTGGAGTGATAGAAAATAAGTTTCATGTGTAAAGGGATTAGTTCATTAGTTGCATGATTTTAAGATGTGCTAGCTTGATTGTGAATTACGTCTGTTTAGTCAGTTCATGTTCCATCTTGCTAAAAAGTCTTGACATACTCTTGCCATAAAAATTTCTCATCCTTGATTCAAACCAATTTTTCTTGATCCAACACAATTTGTTTTGCATTTTATTAAATGATTTTTTCTAAATAATATAGAACCTTCAAATAAATGTTGTAAAATTCGGGTTGGACCGCCGGGTTTGTCCAAACTGTACGGTGTGTTAATCGGGTTATTTATAATTTTTGGGTCCAACAGTAAACACTCATTGGTGGTGTTGATTTTATGAGTTTTATAGTTGTGATTCTATTAAGGCGTTTATTATAAACGTGAATTGTTTCTGTTGTGAATTTTATGCTCCTTCGTATATTTTGATCGTTATTATTTTGGTTTGGCATTCAATCAATTATATCGATTTGTTTATGTTTCTCTTCATCTAATAATCAGTAACTATAGCTGTGGATTTTAGCTGGAAGACAGTTTTGCTTGCCTTTATCACTGTTTTGCTCAGTGTGTTAAGTTACTGGTTTTTTGCTTACTGTTTACTGCTTCATGCTCAAATGTTGAGACATGATGCTAAGTTGTTACTGGTTTGTTGAAAATGGATGGAAAGAAAACGGGGTGCTTACCATCACTTTTGCAAAATCATGTTATAAATTTTTCCATCCATTTCCCCATTCCAAATGCACCCTAAAGGTCACTGCTTTTTCCATTAACTCTTCTTAATGTTTGATTTCTGCCAGAATAGTGTTTTTTAATGCTGAATTGTTACAAAATTTGTAGGATTTTTCTTTTGAAGGAGTATTACATCTTCCTTGGGGAATCCTACATACTGCTAACTTTTGGTGGAACTTGTGTCATTGATAGCATGGGGAATAAAAATAAAGAAAAATCTCCCACCGATGTCCCCTTAGTTAACTATAGCGAAATTCCACATGATCAAAGAAAATTATGGATTCTGAATGATGATTTAGGTATAATGAAAGACTATCTTGGTCTCTTGGATTGGATTTGCGAGTGGGGTTGCAAGGAAGGGTTTGATTTTGGAGGCATTAGATCTCTTCGATGTAAGGGGGGTGGGTATCCCTTAATTGAAGTTTCAATATCTACCCCCGGAATTCTTGAAAAAAAGTTTCTTATTTCACGATCATCCTTGTATATCCTCGCATTTCATTCTGCTATATATGGATGGTTGGTGTTTGATGATATAGAATTTGAAATTGCTTTTTCTGAGAAATTCAAAAGATTGACAAGGCCGGCAAAGTATTTGCCAGAAGCATGGAAAGAGGTTGGGCCTGGTGCCATGATTGATGCCCTGGAAAGGATGGAATCAAATGTATCAAAAGATGCAGCAGAAGGGTGTGAGGTCTTTATGGTTCACTTGTGCGAGGCAAGTCGTCTCAGATTAGTGCAACTGATGATCGCTAAGACCTTAACCCCTATCCCCCAGGATGTTTTGGCTGACAACAATGAAGAGTTGAGGATCCGAGCTGGAAGTGAAGACTCTGTTGATATTCTCGATGACTTAGCCCCTCTTATGATAGACTTGACCAAGTCGGTTGATTGCCATCGCGCAACTGAGCATTGCATTAAAAAGTTCAAGCAATTATCCAAGACTTGGTACGAATATAGTCTTTCCGGTGGGGAGCTATTTGAATTGGATGTTAACATTGCAAACTCATGTGGTGTTCGAACAGTTAGAACTTTAAATAGGATGCTTTGTGTATTGTGTAATACAAATCTCGATAAGATTCAGATGGAATGGAAGAAGAAGTTGACTAATCACAATGGACCACCTGGTTTCACCAATTCAGGCTTTGAAAAGATGTGTTTGCGTATTCTTGAAATCGAAACAAAGGTTAGTAAATGAGTTATGTTATTTGTTATTACATCAATACTGTTATTCATTACTTATAGGACTTTTTTTAGCACACAAGGTTGTGAATAAATTTTGACACATGGAGTTTCATGTCTTTGCATTTTAGGAGGCGGGTGCTTCTGTATCTTCCAAGGAGTGTGACGAACCTCCACAAAAACGAATCTGTTTGGAAGGTAGGTTTGAGTTGTCGTTGTAGTCCTTTGAACATATATTATAGGGAATTATATGTTGTTGAGCTTTACTTTTTGAATTGAACAGGGACAAGCAAGAAGAAAGGCAAGAAGAAAGCAAGAAGATAGGTGGTGGCTAAGGAGTAAAATGAGCTTACTTACCAGGTACTTGCTGTCCCTGGTGTGTTTCTACAAGATTTAAAATCTATTTCATTGCTTGAACATCCAGTAATGTCCTTTTATCTTTCTTCTTTTAAGCACAATCTCCCGTTCATTTCTTGTTTAATTTACTTGCTGATACTGATTTACTACAAGTATTGTTTGCTAAAGACAAATGATTCTTTCAGGACCCCGTCGGCCATCACTAAGATCATTGCAAAAGCTTCTCTATGCAAGGGTTTGCACAGGATTGCCTCTACTGTTTTCTCTATGCAAGCACTACTATTTCTTCCTTCATTGTTGCATGAACCGTCTCTTCTTCGACATTGTTCTATGTCCGAACCCTTGCACTTGGTTGTAAGGTTTTTCCTGTGATTTCTCATTGGATTGTGATGTTCTAAATTTCTCACAAACATCGTCTTCATTTTCGGGTCTTCGCGTTGGGTTAACACTACAGTACAAAATTTGCTTGAACTTTGTATACTTTATCCAATTACACATGTCTAAACTTAATTTTTGTATTATTGTTGTTATTATTATGATCAAATATATAATTACTATTTTGGTTTGAATGGTTTGCTCATTTAAATTTACTTTTTTATTATAAAAAATAACCATTTTAAAAAATATTAAATTTAAAAATTTAAATAAAATCAGTCTTTTACTCCGTAAAATTTAATGATGAAATAAAACTTGAATTTGTTATTAATAAGGTCGCTTAATGAATGGTTCTCTCTCCGATTATTTTTTTCCTTCGAGTTCAAGAGCACTTGTACTGATATGGTATCTTTATAGTAATCATTTTCTTTTAAAAATTGCATCTATGAAGTAAGTCTATCCATGCATTGTTTTTCAGATCACTTTCAATGTTTTCCCAAGCAATTCTTTTTTATGTTTCGCTAAACACCACATTCAAGTGTGTTTCTGTTTCCTTGAAGCGAAGAAGATGGATATCAACTGCCATATAGTTTGCTTATGATATAACTGTTATAACATATTGGAACTCGTGAATAGTTAGATTTGCTATCATGAAAACACGTTCAATCTGAGACGAAAAGTCAAAATGACTAATGCCCTAAGACAATGATTTCTTGAGTAACTTCCATTCTCTCTCTCTCACATGTCTCAAACGTAAATGAGCAAATAGATATTGTTTATTAAATATTTTATTTGCATAATATTCTTTTAAATAATTATAAGCAATATAAAATGTTTACTGTATCAAATTTACTCCCTCTGTCCCTAGGGTTATGAGGCAAAATTTTTGGTCTTTTGAAATTATTTTATTTATAAATTGGTACTTTAATAAGAAATAAAACTTACACATTAAAAAATTAAATCAAAAGTTTAAAATATTTTATTTTATCAAATACTTAATAAAAATGTACAAATAAACAAAAGTTATCGAGATGAGAAAAAAATTGTAATCTATTTCGAGGCGGAGGCAGGAGAAAATTATATTTATAGTTTTATTCATTATATTTTCATCATATAAAATCTAAAAATATTTTTCTATATTTGATGAGTTTTTTTCAAAAAGGATCCCAATGTGCGAAGATACCCCAACATTTTAGGAAATTAATAGATCCCGTAGTAAGTTTTAGCCTTTTCCCAATGTGATTAAGTTGAACGTTATTTTAAATTCGTGAGTATCTTCTTAGTAATTAGATAATGTTGAGACATATTTCGAAAAAAACATAGTGATTGATTGAGTGTCATTTTAAAAAATTATTTAATTAATTTTACCTTCTTAACAAATCTTAGTCACTCGCATTTCATTTATTAACTACATGTTAACATTTTAATCAATCATCAGAGAACTTTTATTTGGAACCCTGATGATTCTTCCAAATGGGAGTGGATATAATACAATCCAAATGGAACAGCATTCTCAAGAATGTCAAACTGATGAATGTCGCATAACAGAAGGTCAACATGCTTGCATTGCACAACAGATGTACGCATCATCACTTCTGTGTCAATTTGATTGAGCATTTGTGGATTTATGTTCCACACTTCGACGTACCGCTTCCAGTTGTTGAATAGTTTCTAAAGTAGTTTTATATTTTTAATGTGATTTTAAATTTTTCTATGTACTTTAATTTTTAACACACTTTATGTATTAGTTTATTTTGAATTTTTGCACTTTCTGATAATGCAATAATTTTAGTTTGTACATAGTATTATTTAGATTTTTATATTTTCTATTTTAAAATTTAATACTAATGAAATGTTAAAAAAATGTTTTATGATCCAGAGTATAAAAAAATGGAAGGGAAAGGCAAAACCACACCCCAAAAATTAGAAGATGAGAGAAAGTAAAAAAATTGATGTGGTACTGAGTTGGCAAGAAAGCAAGAGGTGATGATATAAACCATAGAGATGGAACCTTATTATGTAGTGTGACATAAATCTTGTTTGGGAATAACATGCTTCGGTAGCATTGATATTTTGAATACAAATTAAATAATTAAATAATGTTAATTAATTTTGAAAACATTTTAGAAAGAATATGATTATTGGTTTCAAAATATTCGTAGAGTTTGATTTTTCTTGAGTTAAGCTCGATGAATTTTGATAATAAAAAATATATTCTCTGTTTCTGAAAACCTTTTTTTTCTTTTTTTATTCGTTCCAAAATTTTTTCCTCATTTTCATTTAAAAATTACTCTTATCTCTATTCGTTCTTAATCTATTTATCACATCACTCCTATTTACTATTAATCTATCCATCAAATCTTATTTTTACCCATCATATCCAAAAACATTTTTTAAAACTAAACATTAAAATACGCTCTTCTTAAATATCTTATAAAATAAAATCTCGATAGAGAACTATGAGATATTAGTATAAAATGACATACCTAGTACGGAGAATTACATTTATTTTGGAAAAAACTACAAAAAAATGTATTCTAGTGTGTTACTATACCATATACCCCGGAGTAAATAAATGTAATTGATACTCAGATTACTTCTTCGTTTTTTTTATACAAAAAATGGTGGTCATTTGAAATACAATGAACCGAAAACATTCGGAGTTCCAATTCCAAGTAACGAACATAATCTGAGAGCATTAAAGTACTACAACACCAGGTGGGTCTCGTTCTTCCTCCAACCCTACCAAAGCCTCTGAAATCCCGAATTCGAGTAATTTTAGGTAACTTGTTCTCTTCTCGCCTGCTGCATTGATTTAGCCCATTTCTGATTTCTAATATACCCACTCACAGGAAGTTCCCGGGTCTGATTGTCTTCGGTAATGCGTGAATTGGGTTGGGTAAAAGATTTGATCTTTGCTGTGGGTTTAATCAGAAATTCTTGTTTTTCAAAGATATCTTTGGTGATTGAAGGGTATTGTTGTTATAATGGCACTGAATCTGTGGGATTGAACAAGTGATTATGCTCTGGTTTTGGCTGCGTTTCTATGCAAATGCTTCAAGAGGTGGCATTGTGAATTGACAGTGTGAGATTTATTGTGGTTGATTTTTTTGAATTTGAGTTTTTTTTGTTGGTGCTCCTCAGATGAGGATACAGTTCTTTGATTACATTTTGAGTGTGAGGGTGTTGTAGTCTTCTTGCTTAGAACCTTGTGAGGATATGTCGGGCGGATCTCCGACTGTCGGAGGTGGATTTGTGAGGCAGAGGCACAGTCTAGGGTATTTTTCGAGCGGTGATGATCTTGAGGATGATGCTTGTTCTAGAAGTTTAATGGATTTGCCTTCATTTCCTACACCTACACGGAGTTGGGCTGAGGTTATAGAAAACTTCATTTGGATATCTTCGGCTATTTTTTTCATCTATTATGGTGATCGCAACTACAATTTAATTTACATACTATGGCATGATGGTCGCATTCGAAGGTATGTTCTTGACTTGCCCTTGCCTTGATAATTCAGAAGTTTTCACTTTTCAGTAAGTTTTTGGCTTTGATGTTTTTTGTTGATTGTTTGTAAATGATTGTTTATTAACTTCTTTACAGGTCATTGGAAGATTAATCTTTCCTGTTTTATGTCCGAAAACTGATAAATACTACAAAGTATAATTTTTTTCAATATACATTGTGTTAAACTGTTAGTGGAATGGTACCCTTTGTTATGGGTTAGATAAACAGGCTCAACTCAGAGGATTATTTTTAGAATAGTTTAAGAGGCGTGATAGTATATTTTGAATAATCTAAGTTTATGTCATTATGCCTACAACGACAATTATACTCTAATAATATTTGGAGGAGATTGTTTTTCACTTGATATGCATTGTTACTTAAAACAGCATTTTAGGATCGTGCTGTAACTCTTGTGGCTATTCTTTTATCATTGTTATTTTGGGTCTGACTCATCCTGAAAGAATTTTTAAGAGGTTAACTTTACTTAAAACTCATATATAAGACTCAAACGCGATAGCCAACGGATGCATGCCACTAATAGACATGAATAAAAGGCCGAGTTGCTCATGTTTATACGCTCTGATCCCTACCCACCCACATTTGTTTCAATGTGATCTAATGAAAGTTTATCCTAGCTTTGGCCATTGTTAAACAAACTCAATATGTGTTTGTTATGAATTATGATGGACAGTTGATGTGGGAAGTATAACAAACTCCATATTGCTTAATGGGTTATAATTTGATAAGAAATGTCAAATTTAATTATTGAGTTGGTGTTGTTGATACGTGTCATCACATAACACATACTCGGATACTCCATCTGTTCTGTGTTGTAAGGTGCATTCAAGTTGGCAATGCTTTTAAGAAATCAATTGAGATTTTCCTCCATGTTGTTTTTTAGAAGAAAAAATGATGCAAAATTATACCCAAAAGAATAACACAAATAGTTTAACAGTACTCTCTTTGTCTTTAATAGTTTAATATCAGAGTAGTACTCTGCTTGGCTTTATAGGAACTCAAGAGTTCTACTTAAAAGTGAATGCTGACTTTTAAACTGTGCTACCTTTTTGGGCAGTAAAAATTCTTGAAACAAGACTCTTCTTGGGATAGTAAAAACTCGTGAAACAAGACTCTTTTTTGGGGGATAGGGAAATTGAAGAGGTATATTGTATACAAGCATACAAGGAAGACACTATTGTACAAAAATTAGTATACTCCCTCTATCCCAAAATATTGAGTTCAATTTGGTTTTTACTCAACTTTTAATATTGATGATGTACAAAATTAAATATTTTAGGAACTCATGTTTGTATTTTCAAAACTTATTTGTTAGTTTAAGTAAATGTGTCATGTTTAACTTGGTTGAGATTTGTTTTTCAAGTTATATACAATATATGAAAACGATAGTTGTACAGGTCCCTTGTATTGAGACCAAAGAACTTTTGAAAAGGGACTCTTTTTTTGGGAAGGAGGGAGTAACATTTAATAATGGGCCCCGGTTTGGTTTATGAGTTTCATGAGATAGAAGATTTTTTTCAAATTCATCAAGGCTTGTAAAATGCTTTTCATTATATGGCTTACATAAGATGGTGCTTTACATGGATTAATTAGTACATGTTTTATTCAGTTCATGTTTTTTCGGCTAACATCCTTAAAAAATATTTGTCCTGCAGAATACCAATGTATTTGGGGATGTTTGCTGTTGGCTTGAATATTCTCTTTTTCTTGTATACTATTACATTAGCCTGGGGAATCAGAAAATCGTGGGAGAAGTGGGAAATTTCTAGCATTGCTGCTTTGCCATTTCTAACTTTCAATGGCCTCCTGTCTTTCTGCTTGTAAGAGGAAGTCTGCCTGTTTTCTTACACAATTGAATTGTATCTTTTGAGACCATTTTTTTCTATTTTGCTTAAAATTGAAAATTTGATGCAGGCTCACGTATTCATTGTGGCCTATTTGGGGCTTCTTGACTCTTCCTCTTGTGGTACGTGCGGGGTTT